AGAAATCGATATGAGAATATCAGAAAATGGCTATTTTGGCACGGTTATTCCGCGAAAACATCGTCTTTAAGGACCGTGCATAATTTATGTTTCGCGAGACTACCCCGTTTTAGCAGCATAAACCAATGACGGATATAAATTGCTCGGTGCAACCAAAAGAGGGAACAAAAGGAAAGATGAGACGTAAGTCTTTATGAAAAACGCGTAATTAAACCGTCCCGCAACGCTCCGAAACTTTAATCCCGAGATGTAATTTTTCAGCGCTTCCCTCGCGAAAGATCGAGTTCGCCGGCTTTTCAGCGGCTTCGAAGTTTCTTTCCGGTTTGTTAGCATTCGGAGATAAAAGTTTCCATCGGATATCTAATTGGTTACAGCACTTCCACTAACGCGCTCCTCTAACTCACCGCCTTTACGCGCACGTTTCGCTCGTGACTTTTTTTCGCCGTTACGAGAATAAACAATTAGAAATGCCAAGAGTTCTCCCGCCCTCGGACATTTCATCGACAATCAGGAAAAAGTTCCTCTTATAATTAAATTGCAACTCTCGCTCAGTTTACTCAAAATATTTGCTATATTTAACTGGATATTCCATCTTTTTCTCTCTTACATGGTTTTTTAATTGGAACCCTTCAAAATCTCTAATCAAAGAACTTAAATATTTTGCATTAGTTATATTTCTTTCTTTCTTCTTTATATTTTTCTTTAAAATATCATTTTCATGATTCCGCTGTCTGTTTCTTTATATTCTTTCCATAATGCAATATATTTTTACTCATATTATACAACATTATCTCTCTGCTTTCTATCTCTGTCACCTGTTCCCGTCATAGACACAATGTCTACTTACACCGTGACACTTTTGTAATCTTATTTCTTTTTATAGATGAGAAAAATCTTGTGAATTTTCTCCGCAAACTCCAAGAGATTTTATCCCGCGGCGGGATAAATTTATCTAGCTATCTTTACACCGTGTGTATAACTATATCTATTTGTGTCATTTTTTTTATCTTCCGCTCGCGAGAAAATTTTTGTCGATATGTTTAGATTGGCCCTGAAAGTGACCCGTGCGAAAAAGGCTGAAAGTTTAGCGACGGGTTGCCCCAGTTTTCCGAAAGAGCGGCGGCGTCGACGGCAGCGGCGGCGGTGAAAAGAGGGTTGCGGCGCGGCGTTGCAGAGCGCGCCAGAGAGAGAGTCAGCTTATTTCTATCGATCCTGACGATAGTAGCTCGCAGTGGCCGCCTCGGCGGCGCGGCGCATGGCGACACAGCGCGGTGGCTACCAATGCTTCGCGGCTCTTTAATCCGTTGCGACGTTCCCGACCGACGCCGGGACGCCGTCCCTTTGGTCCGCGATCGAGACGCACAGAAAGATAGAAAGGGAGAACCGGAAACAGCGGTCGCGATCAGCTGACTCGAAAGGCCGCGTGCCACAATCGCTCGCTCCCCCTCCCTTTCTTCCTTCTTCACCACCGCGCCCTTCTCTCGTGTTCCTCGCCGTTCCTTTTCGTCGATCGAAAACTCGCGATCACGATCGACCGCGCATTCTTCGCCCTGTTTGCACATGGACACCTGCCGATAGTCGAAGCGACGAGAGTGCGCCGAAGCGCCGTGACGACTGCTGCTTCTCGGCGGCAATAGCGGCGGCGGCGGCGGCGGCGGCGGCGGCTCACCCTCCGGTTCCGCAGCGGAACCGCAGCGGCGGTTACGTCATCGTCCCGCCTACGCCGCGGAGGATCAGGTGCGCATTCGACGGCGTGTCCGTCCGCCTTCGGACATACAAGTGCGCGATCGACGACGGGACGTGTCGACGTGCATGACGGTCGCGCTGCTCGCCCGGGACTCGCAGATGTAAAGCGTGAGATTTCTGGTGGAATAAAAAATTAACCGACGGCGTGTTTACTTGCCGGGTTCACGACGCTGGCAGCAGATTGCATATTTAATGAAGTGTGTGAAGTGCTACTCTCGCCGATGTTTGTCACGACGATGAAATAGGGAGCGCGGAGCGCCTCGGAGCCAGCGATTCAAACGGTAC